CAAGCTCGACATACACGACTCTAAGCAGCTCTAATACGTACTCGCCGACTAGTACATATACAACTCCAAGCTCGTCGACTTCTTATACATCTACAAGCTTATATTCGACATCGAGTTCGACATACACGACTCCGAGCAGCTCTAGTACATACTCATCGACTAGCACATATACAACTCCAAGCTCGTCGACTTCTTATACATCTACAAGCTTATATTCGACATCGAGCTCGACATACACGACTCTAAGCAGCTCTAGTACGTACTCGTCGACTAGTACATATACGACTCCAAGCTCGTCGACTTCTTATACATCTACAAGCTTATATTCGACTTCGAGCTCAACATACACGACTCCAAGCAGCTCTAGTACGTACTCGTCGACTAGTACATATACGACTCCAAGCTCGTCGACTTCTTATACATCTACAAGCTTATATTCGACTTCGAGCTCAACATACACGACTCCAAGCAGCTCTAGTCCGTACTCATCGACTAGTACATATACAACTCCAAGCTCGTCGACTTCTTATACATCTACAAGCTTATATTCGACTTCGAGCTCAACATACACGACTCCAAGCAGCTCTAGTACGTACTCGTCGACTAGTACATATACGACTCCAAGCTCGTCGACTTCTTATACATCTACAAGCTTATATTCGACTTCGAGCTCAACATACACGACTCCAAGCAGCTCTAGCACATACTCGTCGACTAGTACATATACAACTCCAAGCTCGTCGACTTCTTATACATCTACAAGCCTATATTCGACATCGAGCTCAATATACACGACTCCAAGCAGCTCTAGTCCGTACTCATCGACTAGTACATATACAACTCCAAGCTCGTCGACTTCTTATACATCTACAAGCTTATATTCGACTTCGAGCTCAACATACACGACTCCAAGCAGCTCTAGTACATACTCGTCGACTAGTACATATACGACTCCAAGCTCGTCGACTTCTTATACATCTACAAGCTTATATTCGACATCGAGCTCAATATACACGACTCCAAGCAGTTCTAGTACGTACTCGTCGACTTCTTATACATCTACTAC